CATAGGGAAACCCTCAAGGAAACCTAGCAACCCCAAAGCACCAAAAAAGGAAAAAAAAACCCATAAAAATGAAAAGCTGAACTATAAAACAGTAGATTATACAGTTGTTTTGGATGCCTGGGCAAATAATAATAATAATAATAATAATAATAATAATAATAATAATAAAAAAAATAAACTTTCACCTGCCAATTGAAAAGTATCAGAGTTGGCATCAGGTGGGCTTTCTAAAGTGGGGCATTCCAAATGCAGGGCACCTCAATCAAAAAGGCCTTCTGTCCATTCACCACCTGCCTAACCTCAGGTGAAGGTGGGACTTGGAGGAGGGTCTCATATGAAGATAATATGGCTTAGTTCCAGTTGAATGGTAGAAGGCAAGTCATCTGTGTGAACTAGTGTAGCATAGTGGTGAAGAGACTTGCAGAGCGTCTCCTAGTACAAGAAGCTGGTGGAATTTGCAGAGGCCTAATGGAAGCTGGTGTAAGTTATCTCTCTTCCAAACTCTGTTCAGGAGTGCAGCTCCTGCCAACTGAGCTGGCCAAATCCAGTCAGAGAGAAAACAAACCTTTAAAATAGAGTTATACCACCCTTTTTGCTGGTGTAAATTGCTAGGTAAGGTGACTGAACTGAAAAATGTTTGGATTAGATGTAACTCTCTCCTTGCCCCACCCAACTCCCCCTTTTGAGGTGTGTGCAGGTGTGAGTTCTGCCGGACATCCCTGACTCAGCTGGGATAACCCAAGCCCTGTCTATTCCAGTCTTGTTTATTCTGGTGAATATTGGGTTTGGATTGGGCTGTTAGACTGTAATTCTAATCTCACCATGGAGTGAACACCACTGAATTTGATAAAACTTACTTCTGCATAAAGGGCAGGTGGGGTTCGTCAGTGTGGGAAGGGAGCCCATCTAGGAGAAGGAAAACTCTGATCCTAAATTTCTGCTCCCTTGTGGTATATCTTTGGAAGAAGAAAAGGCTAAGGAGTAAAGCCCACATAAATCTGGAGCGGAGTCCCTAAGACGGTTGGGTGGCACCTTGTACACCTCCTTCCAGCTACTACTGCAGCCCAGCTGGTGCCAAACATTTTGCTCTGCCTTCCTTTGGACCCCATCAGTGAGGCTGAGGGGGGGGGTCTTGTTGTCTGGGCAGCCCAGGACCTCCATACATACTGCCCAGGCTTGTGTCCCAGGAGGTCACTTTGATGCTGACTTCACTGCTGGAGGCACACTCTATTGTCTCTTGAGACAGATGGATGCCAACAACTTCTGCATAGACATGGTTAGGATTAAAATGTTAGTTGTGAACTGGGATGTTGCCTGCTCAGATATCATCTCTTTTATGAACTCACTGGTAGGCTTAGGCAAACTTCTCTCAGCCTCGGTGCCTCTCCAACTCCTGTACAGGGTTAGTAATACTCAGGGCCTTTTTTTTCAGCCAGAACTCACCAGAATTCAATTCTGGCCCCTCTCAAGTGGACGCTATTGCCATTATAAGAGAACAAGGGAGGCGTTCATGGTGAATTCCAGCACCATTTCCCCCCTAGAAAAATAGCACTGGTAATACTGACCTACAGTGGATACGAATGCTTCTGGATACGAATGCTTCTGGTTGCGCAAGTGTTGGGTTACAAGCTGCGCTAACCCGGAAGTAGTTGCTCCCTGATGTGAACTTTGCCCTGGGATGTGAGCAGAAATCGAGCGCCGGAGGCGCACTTCCACCACTGGCACCTCATGTTAAGAACAGTTTCAGAATAAGAACAGACCTCTGGAACGAATCAAGTTCGTAACCACAGGTACCACTGTACTTTCCAGGGAGATTGTTAGAATTACTGAGATCATATATGCCAGGCCAGCCCAATACATTTCGCTGCCTGAGGCAAAGGACAAAATGGTTTCTCATTCTGCATACAGAAGTCAACTGGACTGACAGTAGCTGAATGTTACTTTGACACTGGCCATGGGATCATGTCCTCCATGCCATCTGAGGGCAGCAAGTTAATTTAGGGGGTGCAGGATCTGCTGTGTGGCACACCTAGCATTTATTTACAGAAGTATTCTGCCAGCATTTATTTGTGACATTTATATCCCAACTTTCCTCCAAGGAGCTCAAGGTGGTGCCCATGGTTCTCCCTTTCCCCATTTTATCCTCACAACAATTCTGTGAAGTAGGTTAGGCTGAGAGACAATGAGTGGTCCAAGGTCCCCCAGTGAACTTCATGGCTGGGGGGGACGGGGACTAGAATCCTGGTCTTCCAGGTCCAGCACTCTAATCAGCACCACATTTCCTCTCCACACCACATTTACCGCCTGAGACGGTTCCCTGCCTTATGGTGCATATATGGAAAACACTATGAACATTCAAATAAATGCTAGGTAAATGCTAGGTATGTATATATCATCATCATCATCATCATCATCATCACAACAATAATTTATTCAGTTAAAAGGGAAATGGTTAGGGATGGGCAAATACATCAGTTTCATTTTTTCATTTTTCTAATCTTAAATTCGGTTCTTCACATTTTCACATCAGATTGCAACTTTTAAAAAAAGTTCTTATGAAAAGTTAACAGCATTTTAGTACACATTTCTCCTGATATACACATTTTTGTATACAGCTTTATACACACTTTTATAACGCAGTTTCCCCTTAATATAATGCATTTTTCTACACCATTTTCACAAATATGCATTATTATGAGAATTTGGTAGGTTCACCTTTAAATGTGAACTGAATTGAATTTCTCCTCCATCTCCATACCAATGATAAATGACCGTTAACATGATGCAAAAGCGGTCTACTCCCAAATCTCTGTTCTACCAGGAAGATTACTGGGTAGCTTCACAGGATTGTGGTAATGCTAACATGAGGTGTCACCGTGGATGGTTAGGAGACAAATGTGCAAAGTAGTAGGGCGAGAGGTGCCAGCTTGCCTGAAGTCACATCCTCTGACCCGAAAGTGTGCTTCCATGCTCTCACATTTCCAAAGGCTTATTGTAGTGATGCAACCCAAGGCGTATGCCGTTTCTAATTCACGTGCTCTGGTGTTATTTGGCTGAAATTAGGCCTTTCACATGTCCCATTAATTCCTCTTGCTCTTGGAGAAGCCAAGGATGGGACTCTAAGCCACGTGTGACTGGACTCTAGAGAGTCATCAAGGAGCACAGCATCTTCAGAAATGATCTATGAAGGAAAGCACTTTAGCTGTCTTCCCAGTAAACTCCTCTACTCAACGAATCATGAGAATTCTCAGTCAGCAACCTCACAAAACCAAAGAGACTCCCATGATCCTTTGGGGAAAGCCAAACTGGTAAAAGCGATGCAAAGCACAAAAGTATTTGTAGTGTAGATAGAACCAAACAGCTCTACTGAGGTGTCTACCAGCAGCTTCCCCCCTTCAGCATCAAACTCCTTGATTTTATTATTACATGATAACCTTCCTGAGAAGAGGCTGGCTGCTGGATCAGGCCAAAGGCCTGTCTAGTCCAACATCCTCTTCTCACAGTGGCCAACCAGATGCCTGAGGGAAGCCCACAAGCAGGGCCCGAGTGCGAAAGCAGCCCTCTCCCCTCCAACAGCAGTGGTGGACATGGCCCTGAGAGCCTCATCCTCCATGAATTTGTCCAGTCTTCTTTTAAAACCAGCCACACTGGGGGCAAATTCCGTAGTTTAACTGCACCAGGTGAAGAAGTATTTTTTGTGTCTGCTCTGAGTTCTTTCTCAGAATCATGCATAATTTTATACACCTTCATTATGCTCCCCACACTTACTAGCCCTTTTCCAAACTAGAAATTGCTCCCTGCCCTTGACTATTTTGGTTGCCTCTTTCTGGACCTTTCCCAGCTCCATCATATCCTTTTTGAGATGAGGCTGCCAGAATTGTACACAGCACGCCAAGTGTGGTCTCTCCATAGATTTGTATAACACTAAATTTCCTCCAAGGAGCTCTAGGCCAGTGTTTCCCAACCTTTTTTGGGCAAAGGCACACTTGTTTGATGAAAAAAATCAGCGTCACGCCGGGAGGGACGCATGAAAGTGTAACTTTCAATTTTTTCCCCTCCCCCTTGCCGGGGAACCTCCAAGCTTTGGGGGTGGGGGGGGGAGGAGGCAGCAAAGCGAGGGACTGAGGGACTCCTCCAACGACAAGGGTTGGGGAAGAAGAGAAAGGGCTATTCCGCTCCAGTCAAAGGGAGGGGAATATGTACTGGCCCAACTGGTGTGCGGTCTTCGGAAAGCGGGGTGCGGGAAGGAAGCCTAGTCTCGGGGTCATAGAATCATAGAATCATAGAGTTGGAAGAGACCAGAAGGGCCATCGAGTCCAACCCCCTGCCAAGCAGGAAACACCATCAGAGCACTCCTGACATATGGTTGTCAAGCCTCTGCTTAAAGACCTCCAAAGAAGGAGACTCCACCACACTCCTTGGCAGCAAATTCCACTGTCAAACAGCTCTTACTGTCAGGAAGTTCTTCCTAATGTTTAGGTGGAATCTTCTTTCTTGTAGTTTGGATCCATTGCTCCATGTCCGCTTCTCTGGAGCAGCAGAAAACAACCTTTCTCCCTCCTCTATATGACATCCTTTTATATACTGTATTTGAACATGGCTATCATATCACCCCTTAACCTCCTCTTCTCCAGGCTAAACATGCCCAGCTCCCTTAGCCATTCCTCATAAGGCATCGTTTCCAGGCCTTTGACCATTTTGGTTGCCCTCCTCTGGACACGTTCCAGTTTGTCAGTGTCCTTCTTGAACTGTGGTGCCCTGAACTGTACACAGTACTCCAGGTGAGGTCTGACCAGTGGCACTATTACTTCCCTTGATCTAGATGCTATACTCCTATTGATGCAGCCTAGAATTGCATTGGCTTTTTTAGCTGCCACGTCACACTGTTGGCTCATGTCAAGTTTGTGGTCAACCAAGACTCCTAGATCCTTTTTTGGCATACATGAAGTAGCATGATAGGCACCTCAAATCACAAGCCCTGGCAACCAGATACCTTTTTTAAAAAATGCACAGACATTTTGTAGCTGTTCAAAAATAAGGGGGAAACTATATGAACAATTTCAGAGAGGACTGGCTTCATCCTGAGAATCCATAGAACCATTTGGAATGGGAGAACCCTTCCTCTTCACCTGGAGGTAATGGCTGAAGAGCCCAATCTCTGCTCAAAAGCCTCTCCCACATAACCAATCCCCTACTAGGACTCTGGCGCCTGGGATTGTGGCACAGTCTTGTCTGCTCTACGCTGCTTGGAAATTAGGCCTGTGGAGAAGGGGAGGCGTTGGAGCATCTCCAACGGAAGACTTTATGGCTTCAGAGACCCAAACGCAGCAAGGGGTCACACAGTTCCGCTCCACTGCAATGTGGCCAGTCTTGTCTAGGAGGTTGTCTCTCTCTCTCCAGATTCGGAACAAGGCTTTTCTGGACAGCCCAGTCACTGTTGCTTCTAAAGGAACCTCGAGGAAGGGCGAGCAGTCCTGTCCACAGGCCTTTGCCCAGGCTCTCTACCGATGCTTCTGTTCCAGCAGGGATTCAAAATCCGGGGCACAGACCAGCTTGTGCTTCACATGGCCCAGGATGATCATCTCGCCACTCCTGCTGTCTCCAATGCCCACTGACACCAGCTCCTTCCAAGGGCAAAAGAAAAAGCTGTTAACCACCAAATCCTCTCTCTCTTTTTTTTAAGAATAATTTTTATTAACCGACCAATCACATCAAATCAAACCAAACCAAATTACATAAATTACAAATTACAAAGCCAAATTTTAAATTTTTGTTGGGGTTACCCATATTTCAAGTTCCGAAAGGGGACCCAATCATCTTCTTGCTGCTGCTTTAATGTCCACAAATCTGACCATATGATATTCACAGTACTATCCAGTCCTTTCTTATTGTTTTTCCACATCTCTTCTTGTTATTTTCATATATTTTTCCTTTCTCTTTGTGACCTCTGATAGTCTCCACAAGCGGGGTAAAACACCAAATCCTCTTTAGCCCCATAGCTCACCAAGGACATTTTTCTGCAGATGAGGCAGGGGGGAGCAGCTAATTCCTACTGAAACGTCGGCAGCCCTCATTCATTTAATTAAGACTTGCGCAGAACTTCCTGGTAGATTGTGCTCCATTAACATCTTCCATCTCGGATACTAAGATGTCTTTGGCCATCTCTGTTATTCAGAACTAAGGGCATTAAAGTCAACAACCATTTCACATGGGGGTTCCGTTCTTGCTCCCACCCCCCACACCAGCAGAGTGCCTATAAATGCGCCCTGCCCCATTCCTCCCTTTTTGTGACATGTTGAGTGACGTTTTCAGGTCACTGGTGCCCTCTGAATGTACATTAATCGGTCATTGCCTGTATTCAGCTCCTTCAACACCCTTCTTCATTCAGTGACAGAGATGGCACCGCATACATTTTAGTATCGGAGATGTGATTGTCAGCTTTCTTGTGAATGTGGAAATCCTTCTGCTAACAGAATAGTAACATAGCACAGTAATGGAGATATATATATATGCCTGTTGTCTTAGTCAGGGGTCAGCACTGTACAATCTAGAACAGAGGTCAGCAAACTTTTTCAGCAGGGGGCTGGTCCACTGTCCCTCAGACCTTGTGGGGGGCCGGACTATATTTTTTGGGGTGGTGGTGAATGAATTTCTATGTCCCACAAATAGCCCAGAGATGCATTTTAAATAAAAGGACACATTCTACTCATGTAAAAACATGCTGATTCCTGGACTGTCCAAGGGCCGGATTTAGAAGGTAATTGGGCAGGTTCTGGCTCCCGGGCCTTAGTTTGCCTACCCATGATCGTAGTCCTATAGGTTCACAGCTGGAAGCACTGTGATATTAGAAAATGCAATGCTGAAAGTTAATAATCTCCTCTAATTCCTTAGCCAAGTCTTTTAACTGTTCCCTAGCTATGATAAGGTAAAGGGACCCCTGACCATTAGAATCATAGAATCATAGAATCATAGAGTTGGAAGAGACCACAAGGGCCATCGAGTCCAACCCCCTGCCAAGCAGGAAACACCATCAGAGCACTCCTGACATATGGTTGTCAAGCCTCTGCTTAAAGACCTCCAAAGAAGGAGACTCCACCACACTCCTTGGCAGCAAATTCCACTGTCGAACAGCTCTTACTGTCAGGAAGTTCTTCCTAATGTTTAGGTGGAATCTTCTTTCTTGTAGTTGGGATCCATTGCTCCGTGTCCGCTTCTCTGGAGCAGCAGAAAACAACCTTTCTCCCTCCTCTATGTGACATCCTTTTATATATTTGAACATGGCTATCATATCACCCCTTAACCTCCTCTTCTCCAGGCTAAACATGCCCAGCTCCCTTAGCCGTTCCTCATAAGGCATCGTTTCCAGGCCTTTGACCATTTTGGTTGCCCTCCTCTGGACAAGTTCCAGTTTGTCAGTGTCCTTCTTGAACTGTGGTGCCCAAAACTGGACACAGTACTCCAGGTGAGGTCTGACCAGAGCAGAATACAGTGGCACTATTACTTCCCTGGATCTAGATGCTATACTCCTATTGATGCAGCCCAGAATTGCATTGGCTTTTTTAGCTGCCGCGTCACACATTAGGTCCAGTCGTGACCGACTCTGGGGTTGCGGCGCTCATCTCGCTTTATTGGCCGAGGGAGCCAGCGTACAGCTTCCGGGTCATGTGGCCAGCATGACTAAGCCACTTCTGGCGAACCAGAGCAGTGCACGGAAACGCCGTTTACCTTCCCGCCAGAGTGGTACCTATTTATCTACTTGCACTTTGACATGCTTTCAAACTGCTAGGTTGGCAGGAGCAGGGACAAAGCAACAGGAGCTCACCCCGTCGCGGGGATTCGAACCGCCGACCTTCTGATCAGCAAGTCCTAGGCTCTGTGGTTTAACCCACAGCACCATCCGCGTCCCTTCCTAGCTATGATATGGGGAAACAAATTTAGCTTTAAAAAATCCCTTGACATTCTGAGTGCCCAGACTGAAGCATTAAGAGGGTGCTCTCTACCAACTTTGTGGGTCATCAATTCCTGAGGAAGAAGAGTCAAGGTGTTGGTTATTATTTCTAGAAGACTAATGGAGGATTCCCAATGGCAGCTATCTAGGAAAGTAGGCAGCCAGATCCTTTATTGAAGCCTTTGGTGGCTCCGGTACAGAATGAGTTTGAGATGCTCAAACCTGTTCCAATTACCAGTAGAGTGATGCTCCGAGCCACTTCATATGCACTGTTTTATACAGGACCACAACCAGGGGTTGGCATCAGGCAACAGCAGAGGCTGGGCCCACCACTGCTCTGATTCCCCCCTACAGAAGTAGCACAAGTGGCAGACGCATTCTTTCCTTTCATCCTCTGTGCTTTGGTGCTGCTGCTGCTGCCTACTGAGTCTCCCATCCCCCTCGATCTGCCAGAGAGGTGGTGGCAGCAGCAGCTTTCAGCTACCGCCCTCCTACTCAGACAGAAATAGGACCAGAAGTAGATGCCTGCCCTCTGTCCAGCAGAGAAGAGAAAGTACCACTGTCACTACCGGGGACAACAATATGCTTTGTGGGGGAATTTCTTTTGCCAATCCCCAAAAACCTGGAGCTCTCTCCAATTTTGTACCTGAGTTATGATGCCTAAGTTAAAAACAAATAAATCCATACTTATTTTACTTAATTACGAAGGGCTCCCCGTTTTTAAAATAGAGGTTGACATCACAGAAAAACATGTACAAATACTTTTTCATCCCTCACTTGCATGTAGCTTGACAGGAAACCCAGATTTCATCCAAAAAAGTGACCTTCATAGTGTGCATATTTTGTGTGCATATTTTGTGTTCTGCCCTGGGAACCCCAGGACAAATTATATGGAAAGTGACATTATACCGCTAAGAAACCCAAACTCCAAACTGACACTGGACAAGGAGCTGGACCCCATGCTGGGCTCCTGGTGACGGCACCTTTTTGACAAGTGCACTGCACATGTTTTAGGTGCAGCCCCTCAGAGACATCACACTCTGGTTCCAGCACAGAGGCTGACCATGGGTGGGAGGAATCCAGCTATGCTTTACTCTGAGCAGGCCCAATGAAATTAATTTAGTCATATCCAATAATTTCAACAGCTCTGTTCTGAGTATGGTTGATTTTGTACCCCACTCCATCTCATGAAGATGCCTGTGTCCCCTTGAGGCTGGGAGAGAGAACCTTTTCGGTCCTCATGAGGATTTGCCTCATGACCCCGATTTGACAGGTGAGTGGGGCTGCCCATCTGTCAATCACCTGATGGCACAATGAAGTCAGATTAAGGGTGCTGTTAAAACTAATTCACATCATCCTTCTCCCTTCTTTCTGATTCAGAAAGGGGTTTTCATCGGAATCCCCTGCTGCAACTAGGTGTTTACAACCAATGCTAGATTTAACTCTACCCTTCAATCCATCAGCTGATTGTCCTGCAGGCTGGAGGTTCCCCTCCCCAGTCTATCAAAGCTTATACTGAGCCGTAAGAATATATGAGCCCAACTGGATCAGACCAGCAAAGGCAAGCCAACGAACATGACAATAGCTCTTCTCTGCCACTGGCCACACTGGCAACTGCTATTCAGAGCCACACTGCCTTTGAACATTTCCATTTCACTTGCTAGCAGGGAATGTGCATTTTGAAAGGTGAGTAAAAGAGAGGTTTCCTGAGTAAGCCATACCTGAAGGAAGGAGCAGGGTGTCCCTGTGGTCACATCAAGAGTCACCCTGCCCAGAACTAGCTGCACCTTCCCTGATTTGCGGATCAGCAGCTTCCCCACCTGCCCTTCAGAGAGGTCACCGAGGGTGCAGGTGTTCTCTGCCTCTTTGGCTTCCTGAAAAGGAAGCACAAAGTTACAAACATCACCCATCTTTCTGGGGAAACCAATCTTGGAGTATTCAGAAACCACCCTTGTTTTCTCACAAACCAAGAGCTAGTGCCTTCAACTGAATAAGCTGAACCTCAGGAAACCAGTGAAAGTTATGCAAATTAAACAATGTTGACCCATTTCTCATTTTACATACTTTACCTCTGCTGGTCATAGAGTAGTCAACAATGGAAATTCTATGCAATAAGGCCTCTGGCTTCTGATGCATCATGAAGTGTAGCCCATACAGTTTCAAGTACATCTTAGCACCCAGAAAGACTAGAAACTTTTAAATTGAAGCAGTCATGTGCCCTACACTCCACACATGGGGTGACTTTTCTACACTTCCACATCCCTTCCTATGGCCCCTTCTTTGGCAACATAAGCAACGACATCCTATCCAGCCCCCTGCTACTTCTTATTCTAAACAGGAATCAAGTCTTCCCATACCTGGTTCTTCTCCTGCTTTATCACCATCACCTGCCCATCTTCACTTTGCACCTCAGTTTTGATGGGCTTGGTGTCCTGAGTGGGCGGCTGTCCTGGCAGTGTATCTGGTAGCTGCAGAAAGAGCAACTCGTCCTCCTTGCAGAGGCTGAGCCGCTGCAGCAGCTCCGCAACAGACACATCCTGGGGGAAGGGAGGGGGTGCCTTTGCAGGAGCTGGTCTGAGGACCAGTGGGTTCTCTTCTTCATCATGGGGCTCCTCTTTCACTGAAACGAGACATAACAATTCAAATCAGAGCTGCAAGGGATTACACCATTACCTGGTCACTGTGTTCCATGGGAGAGGACCTCCTGGTGGTACTGAGGGCTTCTCATATTCATTTTTTTTTAAAAAAGATTTTTATTAAAGTTTTCAAAATATGACAAAAAGAAAAAAGAATAAGAAAAAATACAAAGTAAAAACAGTTAAAAACAATTCAATCTTTCCGTGTCTTATCTTACATTTGCTTGTTCCCCAGACCTCCTCACACCTCCCTTTTTTGTATCCAGTTCAATTAGTTGGTTCACCAATTGGCCAACCATGCCCAGGAGAAAGGCCTCTGGTTTCTTCAGGAAGGTATATTTAAATACCTTTTTCATTTCATTATATATCATCTCCCAGAAAGCCTTAATCCTTGGGCACGTCCACCAAAGGTGAAAGAATGTACCTTCAGTTTCTTTACATTTCCAACATTTATTATCGGGCAAATGATAGATTTTTGCAAGCTTGACTGGTGTCATGTACCACCTGTATATCATTTTCATAATATTCTCTCTTAAGGCATTACATGCCGTAAACTTCATACCTGTGGTCCGTAACTGTTCCCAGTCAGCCATCATAATGTTATGTCCAACATCTTGTGCCCATTTAATCATAGCAGATTTCACCGTTTCATCCTGAGTATTCCATTTCAACAGAATCATAGAATCATAGAGTTGGAAGAGACCACAAGGGCCATCGAGTCCAACCCCCTGCCAAGCAGGAAACACCATCAGAGCACTCCTGACATATGGTTGTCAAGCCTCTGCTTAAAGACCTCCAAAGAAGGAGACTCCACCACACTCCTTGGCAGCAAATTCCACTGTCGAACAGCTCTTACTGTCAGGAAGTTCTTCCTAATGTTTAGGTGGAATCTTCTTTCTTGTAGTTTGGATCCATTGCTCCGTGTCCGCTTCTCTGGAGCAGCAGAAAACAGCCATTCTCCCTCCTCTATGTGACATCCTTTTATATATTTGAACATGGCTATCATATCACCCCTTAACCTCCTCTTCTCCAGGCTAAACATGCCCAGCTCCCTTAGCCGTTCCTCATAAGGCATCGTTTCCAGGCCTTTGACCATTTTGGTTGCCCTCCTCTGGACACGTTCCAGTTTGTCAGTGTCCTTCTTGAACTGTGGTGCCCAGAACTGGACACAGTACTCCAGGTGAGGTCTGACCAGAGCAGAATACAGTGGCACTATTACTTCCCTTGATCTAGATGCTATACTCCTATTGATGCAGCCCAGAATTGCATTGGCTTTTTTAGCTGCCGCGTCACACTGTTGGCTCATGTCCACCGGGCGCAAGGTCCACCGACCTCGGCGGAGAAAGGCAACAACCGGAGCCGATGACCAGTGGCGTAGCGTGGGTTGTCAGCACCCGGGGCAAGGCAAATAATTTGTGCCCCCTAACCTGTGGATTTTAGCACTCGAGTGTGAGCGCGCCCCCCCCAAGATGTTGCGCCCGGCCCCCCTGCACCCCCACGCTACGCCACTGCTTCAGGTCCCCCAATAAAACATTTGAGGGGGCCAGTCCCCCAGTTGATGGGCATTGCCAATGTGATCAACTATGCAGGGCGGGGTTTACTTGCCTCCCCCCCCCAATATCATACTGTATTCACATTGGCACCCCTGATGAACTCAGCGGGGCTTACTTCTGCCCCGCAAGCCTTTGCACCTCCGTGTCTCCTTTCCTCTCTATATGTAAGAGGGTGAAGGTCAGGCTGGCAGTGCAAATAAGGGCCCCGCTGCTGAAGGCCTCGCCCGCCGCGACCTCCTGGTCCACGGGCAGGGCAAGAAAGTGCCTTTTCCTTGGGGGGGGGAGTCTTAAATTTCAAACCATTATTATTATTATGAATATCTAACGTGCGTGGTTTCTCTACCTCCACCGACGACTCGCCACGTGCGAGGAGGAAGGGGGGCTCCCTTCACCTCCCCGTCCCCTCAAGGGAAAGGGAAAACGACGTGAGGAAAAGCGACGCGGGACAGCGAGCGAGGTTCTCCTCAGAGCCTTTTCCCGCCGCCCCCTCGCAAGACAGCCCTGAAGCCGAGCGCAGAGTGAGGGGCGGGGCCCGGCAGAGTCTCGCTGCCCCCCAACACCTCTCGAGGCGGCATGAGGGGCGCCGCATCAAGGGCGCCGGCGGGCGCAGCGGCAGCTCCTGTCAGGGCACGAGGCGGGCCCGGCGCCTCTCCCCCACCCACCCCGTCCGCCCACCCATATCCCGCTCAGGAGGGGCCGGTGGGCTGGCAAGCGCCTCACAGCAGCAGCACCAGAGAGGGAGAGAAGTCCGCCTCCCGCTGCCGCCGCCTCTTCATCCCCAGCAGCAACTTCCCTGCCCGGCTCCCCGCCGCCGCCGCCTCCTTCTCTCCCTGCTTTGCAGTAGCAGCCGCCGCCGCGGCCGCCACGGCACACCAGGCAACATCTCGCGGCACACTAGTGTGCCGCGGAACACCGGTTGGGAAACACTGCTCTAGGCAGTGCACACGATTTTGCCTGGCTCAATGCTGTAAAGTAGATTAGACAGAGAGGCAGTGACAAATGCCAGGTCACCATGAGCAATAACTGAGCGAGGATTTGAACCCTGGTTTGCCAGTTGCTAGGCCAACGCTCTAACCACTACACCACACTGACTCTCCATGAAGGTTTTTAGGTACTTGGCTCTGCTAGGAATGCAGTTCAAACCCTAGTCTACACCTACATAGTTAAACTGGAAGGGTGAAGACAAGGAAACTCACCCCAGGAAATGACTCATCCAGTGCCCCTCCCCCACTCAAAGGGGGTGGACAGACTTGTCCTCTCTAGATAAGGCCTCACCCTACCAAGTTGGTTCCTTTTGTTAATATACAGGATGCTTCTCTTTAGAGCCAGAGTAAACCAAACTGCATTTTGGAGTCACATAGGCCAGCTGCCTCTGCCCTAACACATATGCTCTGTTATGATGACAAGGTCTTTGAAAGAGCTGATCTGTTTTAATTTAGAACTGGCTTCACCAAACCAGATTCAAATTTTCCTATCCATGCTCTATCCCAGACATTCTAATCTGGAATGGGAAGTGGTTTAGTCTGGATTAATTTTGCTATGAAACTGTGAAGCCACACCAATGGGACTGGTGTGAGGCAGATGTTTACATTTCACTAGGGCCTCTTTAGGGACATAGGAAGTTGCCTTGTGCCAGGCCACCTCTGCACCATTCCTTTAAAGCAGCATCAGACCACTTTAAACATTCATAGCTTCCCAGTGCTGAAAAGGCTGTAAAGGGGACCAGCAAATTCATGGAGGGCAAATCTCACTCATGGCTGCTGCAGGTTTTGAAGGCCATATAGAGCCTCTAGATTCAACAGCAGGATGCCACCAGATGGTGGTGAGCACCTGGGTGGGAGGGCTTTAGCCATCTGGCTCTAGCCTCCTCCTTGAATTTGTCTCATCTGCTTTTAAAACTATCCAAAGTCACAGCCATTGCTACACTCTGTGGCAGAGCAGACAAACTTTTCCTGCATCCTCAATTCAGACAGACGTTTTGCTCAACTGAGGGGTGTTCAGATATTATAGCTTTTTAAAGGTGCTGTTTTGAGAACATCGTTTCCTTAGCAAACATGTGTGCTGTCATATGTATTCTGCCCTGGTCAAACTAGTCTGGCTAGGATTTGGGTAGTGATTCAAGCTGTACTGTATAATACTGGGATTAGCCCCTGAGTATGTCTAGTTGTTTGTGTGTGTTTTGGTATGCCTGTTATTGGAACCCACAGAATAGTATATATGATTCGTTTAATAGACTTTTCTCCACCCCATGCCCATAGTAGATTTAAACCATGTTTACATTCTTTTTTATCAAGACAATGTGCATATTTACCGCTGTGTGTGTGTGTAAAAAAAAGTAAAAGTGTGAAGTCTTTTTTAAATTAAAGAGGGAAATTAACTAGAGCACAAACAGCTTGCATTTTGGTCTAATCAATTTAACCACCTCACTAATCTGTACAGAACTAGGGAAAGCATCTGCAGTTTGGAACGAGGCAGGAATGGTCCAGACCCTTTCCTTCCTGTAAACATATCCCAGTTGGCTGGGTTTCCCAGCGTCTTGCTGCCAGTTACTGCCTGAGCACACTGACTAATTACTACTTTTTCCTCAGACTGAGCCCTAGCTTGTTTTATTGAATGAACACAACTCTCCAGGTGGGGGTGGCAAGCCACATGTGATTGAATTTGAGAACTTCTCCCAGCAACTTCCCCCCTCCACCCAGAAGGTAGGAGCTTCATGAGACGGATGCATTTGCCAGGCCTGCTAGCTCATTTATAAAAAGAGCTGCCAAGGCTCAAGCCAAACCCCCAGACGGGACAACAGAGGCCATGAGGCAGACCCTCCAAGTGTCCCTGTTTTCCAGGGACAGTCCTGGATTTACAGAAGCTGCCCTGGTTTCTGTTTGACCCCAGAATGTCCCACTTCCTTAGGACATCCCTGTTTTCATCAGAAAAATGTTGGAGGGTATGGAGTTATCCCACATCTGAAGGCAGCTCTGTATAGGGAAGTTGTTTTTTATGTTTAATGTTTTATTATATTTTTATATATGTCGAAAGCCACCCAGAGTGGCTGGGACAACCCAGTCAGATGGGTGGGGTATAAATAGTAAAATAATAGTAACAACAACAACAACAATAATAGATTTAGGATGTCTCTATTTTCATTGGCAAAATGTTGGAGGGTATGCATAAGGTTGTATTTGCAAGCTTATTACCTGTAAAGTTGCATCCTATTGGTATGTCATCCAACAGCCACTGACTTGCCCCTCTCCCACCTGGGTTTGTAGGCATTCTTACAGGAAACTGACATTTTAGCTTCTCGTGTGTGTTGTGGAAATGGTGTTTTGTTGCTTTTGCTTTGTTAATAGCTTTGGTACTCTTGAGCTCCCATGATAGGAGAGAGTGAACAGCAGGTTCCTCTTGTTCATAGCCATTATCTGAGTTCTCATTTAATGGGTTTAACCTTTTAAA